AAACATAACACCTTTCACAACCACAACCAAAGCGTATTTTACATTCACGCAGAAGGGAATATAGACATAGAAACCAATAAGCGTAGATACAGACTATAGTAGCCGATCCTCCATCCCAATGCCGAAAGAAAGTAAACGCAGTTCAAATGAAACATCAGAAAATTGTGAATTTTCACAAAATTTAGATATTGAACTTAACGATTACCGTAGAGTGAGAAGACGTTATTCAATACCAGATCTTCAGGTAATTGACGATAGGAGACCCAGAGTGGAAAGAGATGTACGCATATCCTTACCTCAAACTATTAAAGTGAAACCGCTACAAGCTGATGAAAAATGTGGAAAGGAAATCGTCTCCAATCAAGAACGATCACTGCCAGGTAAATACTTGCTTATTAAATAGTTGAAGAAAACTAGATAATATTTTCAGTAGGAACTAATCAGCAAAATGATCATGTGGCTTTAATTATCTTTATTTTAGGTATTATACCTTTTCATTAAACCAAATCATTAAGGCGCGTGTTGTTCCTTTATTGTTTGAATAAAGCTACGTTGTCATGTAAATTACCAAGTATATTCTAATGCAGACTTTTATTTTTGATTCACTATTTTGGCTAATCTATGACGAACGGGCTTCATAACCTCTGATCCCCTTTAAAAATTCATTTCTTTTTGTACCACTCATTGTTTTGTCGCTAAGGGCACAGGCTTTCTTTTATTTGGTAACCATACGCCGCTTTTTATGGAATGGCAAGAAAGTGTCGCTTAAAAGTGTCATGAAAACCGACTTATAAACACATCTGCAGATGTTTCTGTATTTAAATTTACACCATTTTCAAGTTTAAATGTTGAATTCTGCTCAAGCCAGGGAGAATGGGCGTGGATGGTTGTTTGCACCAGACAGAACCGTCAATGTACAGACTCAATCTTCTTACAAATTTGTCTTGAAAATAATTCAACATTACCATAATGATTTTCAGAAGCTGATTTGGATTGGAATAAAGTGTTCAACTTCCTTGTCAACATTGTAACTCCCCGAACATATAAACTCTTTTATGTAGAGCTATTTGGTACGTTTGTCGGATAATTTCTGTTTATATTTTCATATTGCTCATGTTTTGTTTTAATCGAATGCAATGATTCGTAGCAATTTAATTAACAAATGATATACATTTAAATAATATGAAACAAAACTAGAAAAAAGAGTTTTAACAGTGTATTTAAATTCATGTAGTTCTTAAATCATTTTTGTTAATAATACGCTTTGAAATTATAAAATAAATTCTTTTCGTCATTTGAAACAATATGCATGTGCATTGTTATCGTTAGTAATGAGGTCAAAAATATTGAAACTCTTTTTTATTTTTTCTAATACTCTATAATTTAACAAGATGCTTTCTTTATAAGGGGGCATGGTCAAATACATATATGCACTGTTAGAACAGCTTTCAATCACAAAAAAAGTTGCACAAAAGCTATTCAAATTATAGCTCCATACTTTGAGTTTGACGTCGCCCTGACAAAGTACAGATCATATGGCAAATTTTTAGCTTAACTGATGGAAGAAGACATCAGGTGTCCACCCGTGCATTATTTCAGGCACACACAGGTACATAAGTAGAACCACCGATGTACATGAAAGAATCCATTGTCCCTGCCGGGATTCGAAGCCAGATAGGCGATGGGCAAGTTTCATACTCTTAAAATTTATAGTTAAATCTAAAATCATTGCAAGATCATCATATATTGGGTAAATATTCTATATTAGCATATGGTCAGCACCTTCTTACTCAAGGAAAGACGATCAATAAAACGATTGAAAACATAGAGATGATGCATAAAGGGGCAGCTACAGCTTTATTTTTTGATCTTTTTCGGGAATGGAAAATTCTCATGGGATCTGAGGCAAAACCTGAACAAATTGAAAATGCTCTTACACAAGTTGGAGATAATGAGGCATTGGCAGACTTTCAAGTTTTTATGAGGTAAGGCCTTTCATATAAGTTATGAAAACATAATAAGTCCCTTGAAAATGACTTATTAAGTTCTATCCAAAGACTTCAATACCAAATGTAGACTGTAATTTTTAATTTATGCTATGTCAACAAACAGGTTTTTTTATTAGAAGAATTGATATGTTATCTCTTTATTGAGTGGTCACAAACTATTGGATGAAAATAGATCATATGGAAACTTTAAAAACACGCGAATCAAGAAGCTTGAAAATGTAAGAATTTTTTTGTGATTTATCGATTTAAGATGTCGTTATCTAATTATTGCTGACAATTTCAAAGTAATTGTTTGCAGCTAATATTATGTTGGTTTATTTTTTCGTTATCTTTAAATGTCTTAAACAAGTCATGCAGTTGCAAAACAAAAGTATTCCTGAACATTGTACTGTTCTTAAAATAACAGAGAAATTTGTTTTGTTCCTTGTAAACAATACCAAGGTTCGTCTGTGTATGCCTGCATTTGTCTCTTGGAGCTTGTATAAACCTTCTAGCTTATATTGAAATGTATATTCTGTATATGAACGGATTATTTGTTTACGTAAATTTTCTCATATATATATATATATATATATATATATATATATATATATATATATATATATATATATATATATATATATATATGTATATATATATATTTTATATATATATAAAATTTTTATTATTAAGCAGTTATGAAATTATTACATGGACCTGAATAACTATTTCGACTATGATATAAATCTATTCAAATAAGCATTCTTTTTGAGCATTTGTAATAAAGAGGAACTTCAGCCTTTCATGTTATAAATCATATATTATGTCGTTTCCAACAATAATCTCGAAAGACACATGTAGTTTTTAAAAACAAAATAAAAAAACACCAGCATCAGTGTACACAGTATGTTTAGTAAGTACTCTACGTTTCCTACGAATTTAGGGTATGTTTTTTTTAAAAATGTGTATTGTATGATATTAATGACTAATGTTCTTCCAGTTAACGCTTTCACTTCAGTGTTATTATTATTATTATTTTTATTGTAATTATTATTATTAATATCATTATTTTGATTATTATTATTATTACATGTATTATCCTCATTTAGCACAAATGTCAACAAGAGCAATTTTAAGGAATTAATTGAAGATCAAAACTCTACTGCAACAAATTGTTTAACATTTATTGAGTCAAACAAAGAAAGTACGAAATCTTTCAGTCACCGTATTATTCATTTTACAGAACTCCACCTATGATACCTGCAAATATGAGAAGTTTACTTCCTGCGAATGAACCAGATATGAGCTGGACTTTTCCTAAAATAATTGACCATTTTGTTACTGCTCTCCCTCAAATAAATGTATTGGCTTTACCTCATGTAAACGGATCGAATGATGTGCGAAACCTTTCTCAATGCCAATCATTAAGAAAGAATATCATACATAGCAATATAAAGGGATTATTTAATCAAAACGCTAATACAGCAAACTGTTTAACATTTTCAACTGAGAGTCAAACACAGATAGAGAGACAAACCAATATTATCAAAAGCATTAATAAACGCAAACGGAAATATATCGATGGATCAGATTATTTTAATGATAGTGGAGATGAGAGTCCGGTTTGTAAATTAAGAAAGAAATCAACAAATTTGAATGTATTGCCTATTAAAAAACGAAAACAAACAGCACGAAAACTACCAAAAAGAAATGTTCCATACCTTTGCCGGGAACTAGTCTGCTGGGACAAAATTGATATTGAATTCGTTATAGATATTATTAAAAGACTATTGCCGACAGACACTCAGGAATTGAAATCTGAAGAATACTATCTTTTCCTTTATCATACTGTCAGTGTCATTGTGAATAAAACAGTAGTTCCAGAAAGAACTGTTCTACTCATGCTGTTAGAAGATTTCAATGATCGTTTTGAGAGTAAGACAAAGCGAGGTCATGTAACGTGTACTATAGATACAAGTCAGGAGGCAATTATGATCGGCTTTGAAGAAGTTGAATGTTTAAAGCTTTATGTGGATCATGCTCGCAAACGAGTGATAAGAGAAGTTAAAGAAAGTAACAAAGACTACGTCGAAAGCGAATATCTGTTTATAGGCTATGATGGTATACCTATTGTCAATGAGGTAATATAACAATTATGTCTCTTACTTAATATTGCATCTGTGTTGTGCTTCTGTTGATAAAAAAGTATGCAAAATGCTATTTATTTACTATTTACTATTATATGTGTAGCATACATAAAGTTTTAAGTTTCACATCAGTGGTTCTTTCGCATTTTAAGAGGATTTGATGATATAATATTCTAAATAAATATAGCTACCAGTCCTTAATCTTTTCAACACATTCGTCCTCTGTTGTTTAAAATGCACTGTGAAAATGCATGAGCAAATGGAATATTTCAAGCATAACTTAACAAATAAAATAGTTAAAGGGAAATTAGCTATAAACAGATAGAATTTGAATAGTATTTGAATGTTCAAATCAAGCCTGAAACGTTTGATTTTTTATATTTTCTTGTGTGTGAAAAAGGTAGACCCGTAATATTTAAAGTTATTGTGTGTAAACCTTCGGGTTTGTTTTTTTTCCTTTCACATGTAGTCATTCGAAGATAAGATCGTAAAGGAAACTGAAAGTGAAAAGAAAGCATTAACGTGTAGCACACTCAGCAAGGAATCAGTTCAGATGGAAGCTTGTCGAAAGGATCTTAATGATGATAAACATATTCGTGAGGAAAAAATCCAGACATCTGAAGTACAAGATATGAAGATGAATCATTTGTCTCCCGTAAAAACGAATTTGATTGGTGTTTCAAACTATGATGAACCGAAGTCAACCGAAGGTATATCAACAAATATCCACGTTTGTCAAATAAATGAACATTGTATGGATTAAAACAAATTTTCAATGCATGTCTCATGTTCATTTTGTTGAGTAAATTGGCATATACTAATAAAGAATTTATTTTGGCATTACACGCATTGGATGTATATAAACACACTTGACTTATACATATCTTTATTGTCTCAGATTTTTATACTTCACAACAGCAGGTGTCAGGTGCCGTGTGGCAGCTGTAAAAAGTTGCCCCGTACTTTACTTCAGTGTTGTCATATTTTTCTGGTCCTTCGGGATCATTGATGCCAGCACTATTAAGTGTTGAGAATTGAGTACCGCTCAAGCCGGTGCTAGGGGGCGTGAGGGATGTTGCACTTATTCATTATCCCTCATGTAAAGACTCAATCAAACCGAGTCTTCAATTCTTATGTAATTTTGTTGTGATTAATGAAGGATCACTTTGTTTATATTTTTATATAAATATGTATTAAATCCAAATTTACAAAGTTTACTCTGATTTCTTTACATATAATTTATACGAATGACTCCTTACCATGACATTATTTACTTAAGTTTTATAACACTTAGAAGTAGAATAGATTTTTTCCTGTGTCGCATTTTCACTAGTACTACTCGCATTATAGCTTTGCCTGTGTAATAATACATAGTATTCTTTCTAATAAACAAGGTTTCATAGATTTCAGTTTGCTTGTTGAAAATGTGAATGATGATAGAGATGGGGAGATGAACGATGATAAAGACCAAGAGTTGAACGACGGCAAACCTATCTGTAAGGGCAGATTACAGACATCGGAAGAACAAGATAACAGTAAAATAGATGATTTATGTCTCGGAAAAGAACAAATCGTCAATGTTTCAAAATGTGTTGAATCCAAGTCACCCGAAGGTATTTTTAAAAAATAACTTGTACTCTTTGATAAAAAAGAAAACAATGTCCTGAATAAAAGTCCTTATAACTTTATATATACTGAAGTATATTTTCAAGTAAAGGTAATAAAAATTGTAGTGCTTAAAGCTACAAAATCAGCATATAGTTGTGAGAATTTTTATTTTAAACAATATCGTTTGACTAAATATACCAATGATCAAAATTAGCTTTTACATTATTTTTGTAATTAATAATTTTGTTTTAATTATGTTGAATAAGTTATGTTTTCAGTTTTTAAGTGTTTTTATAATGACAACACTGATTCGTTTAAATGGTAAAATTATTATTTATTTAGGTTTTTAACACTAAAAAATAAACAGGAATACATGTCTTTTGTGTACATTTCATTTTCGTATGTCGTCCGTTTTTTTAAGCAGCTTTATCAAGAAAAACCTTGCCGTTCGTGTTTAACATGCCTTATTTCTGTTCCAATGCTAAGTATGATCTTGCTTAGTATGATATTTTGCTGAACTTGCATAAATAGGTTTCAGTTTGACTCATAATTGGAAAATTGATGATAAACCTATAAAAACCTACTTGTATATTTGACAGACATTTCTTGTGCCTATAAATAATCAAGGCTTGTGGGATATCCATTGGCTGATAACTTCAATACTTGTATTTATTTAGAACAAAATATTTTTATTTTGTTAAAATCATTCAATTTTAATTGTTTTATGAGTATATAAACTTAGCGAAATCATCGTTTCCTGATATATAATATCATTTTCACCGCAATCATAGTTGATAATGTCGATATTGAAAACATTTTGAGCTTCTTTAACCTGCTTCAATATGCTCATAATAATTCATAGACATATTTAATGAATTACTCTATATTACTCATTTAAGTTGTTCTTAAACTTTCAAGAAAAAAGAAGATGTTTCTTTTATTGATAGCATATCATCCATCATAATATACCATTTGTGTACGCTTTAAGCAAATCAACCAACACAATTGTTAGGTTTGTTATGTTATACATATATTGCAATGCATAAATTGGTTAACTTTATTCTATAGAATTCAGTTTGACGTGTGAAGAGATAGATGGTGAAAATATGAAAAACAAGAACGACAAGGGAGAGTTGTATTCAATGAAAGCATCACCAACACGACCAAGCAACACAGGACAACCGACAAGGAGCCCAGCAGGACAAAGTGAACCGACAACCAAAAGCAATTCTAAAACGAAGCTTGACCCAATCGAGTTGGAAGAAACAACAGTACAAAATGAAAGCCTTGATGACTTTATTCTGGATATCGAAGATTTTTTGGCAAGTGATAAGTGATGTGAAGGACAAAGTGCCTTTGCAACATACAAATTGTCGAGACCCTAGCGGCTTTAGTTTACGAAAATTTATATGAATGTGTCGGCGATAAATAATTTCCTTCGTTATATTTTTATGAAACCATCTTGATATAACAAAATATATGTTTTAACACCAAGCTTCTTTAAGCTGTTACGTCGTGATATTTCTTTTACGTCTTTTTACTTAATTATCATGTCATCATTACGAAAACAAATTTTAAGTATTAAGGGGCGTATGAGGTAGAGTGGTTTAGATCTTTGCTTTCAAACAACTTGCCTTTCTTCATTGTGGGTATGAATCTCGATTAGATACTTCAGAGTTTTTTATGTGAGGAAGTCCTCAAGCTCGTTTTAATTAATGTTATGATTACCGGTGAAATAATGTGTTTAATCTTTGTGATTTAATTCATATCACCCACAGTAGATAATCGATTCAAATACCATTACATCATTGCGACTGAGGGGTTGTCTTAAGGGTCTAGGCACCATATTGCACCTGCTTGATTGTGAAAGGCAACTAAATGGTTTCAGATTATGCTGTGTAAGCATTGTGTAGCTCAAGCAGGTTAATTGGTTCGAGCCCTGGTGTTGCTTGAAGTTTGTAACCAGGTTAGCCAAAATCACCCTTTCTGTTTCGGCACCTTATGACCATAATTGTGTTGGTGCGCTGTAAAACCGAATATACGAATATATACAAATATCATTATCTCTAAAAATTATAATGATTACTTCAAACTTGAATTACCTTTTTCAATTCTATGTTTTCTTGTTTTGTTTTCATTTGCTTGTCCTGTCCTATTTATTTGTTTGCTCTCATGTTCAATTGTTTTATAACTGAAGCACAAAACTGGTTTGAGATGTGACAGCAAAAATAAGATTCTATTGAGTTAATTAGTTATTGATTATGATTCATTTGTTTATTTTCAATTTAAATCTAATATCTCAACTTTTCAGTTTTATTAATTTGCGGAATTTCTTTAAAAGATTTAATCAAAAAAGCGTTGTTTGCTTTTGATAAGAATTACAAAGTACCAAAGTTTGGATGTATGAAGAAGATAACCTAGTGTTATTTTTAAAAAAAAAACATTTCAGAAAACAAACTTCTTTTTCGATATCAGAACCATTTATGTGTGTTCGACAGATCAAATTTAAGGTTAAGTAAATTTGTTATTTACAGTATGTTCTATCAACATACCGGTCTTATGAGTATATATTCTAATTATTTAATTATTAACATAAACAAATAAAGTTTAATTGGGAAGGGGATGGAGTGAAGTCCACGGAACGTAGAGTTGCACATGACGACTGAAAACGCACCCGGTGAGACATCGAACTAATGTATTACCAATTTGTTATGTTTTTCTGTCCTTATTTTGTTCATTACTATTTTCTTTGTAATAATTTTAATATTTGCAACACTTGCGCTGTATACAAACTTACTGTAAAAAGAAGCATATCATTAGCCTGAAATATATCTTTGGACTTGACTTGACAGTGTGTCAAAACAGTGCAAGACATTTCTTTATGCCAAGCATCAAAGTCGACGCACATGTCGACAATATTTAGATAAAAGAAATTTAAAGTACAAATATATTTATTGGTTTTAACTTAGAAATACCCATTCATATGTTACTTTCACATAACTTAAGTGTATTGAAATGAATTGTTGGGTGTTTTTTTATTTGCCTACACCCTATACGTTTGACGATGCAACTTATAGCTCTACAAACTTAATTTCAAACTGTAAATTAAATGAAACCGGGATTTTCTAATTCACATGGTATAAATGTTAGGTGAAAATATTGGTTATATATTGATAAGATGCTTATTTATAGATAATTACGGTCGCCTGTTCATTTCCTTTTTTTTTACTTTTTCAAGTAATAGAAATACCAACAAATATTTCTTGTATAAAGTGCTTTATAAGGTCGGTAAAAAAGCGTATGTATTGAAAAGAATTTCGGGCGAAGCTCTAAATATAATACATCTTAAATGTGCCTTAACGTATTCATTACTGTAAAACAAGTATTTTGAATTTCAATGTTATTTTAAGTCCATGTCAACACAATTTCCCAATATCATTTATTCATAACATACAAAACTATAGGGGTTTTAAATTTTCCCAAAACTAATGGGGGGGTTTCACGCAAAACCCCATTGCCATTTCTTTTTTTGAAATTAAAAACAAAAATGTTTTTTTTTTACAAAGGGAAAATTTCTCTTTCCCAAATTTAAAATTTAAAAATTTTTTACAAAGTGTTTTCCCCCAGTTTTTTTTATTTGGGTGTTTAAAATCGATAAGAAGTTATATTAAAAAATCAAATAGCGATTGATGTTATCCTCTAAAAATACTTGAATGTATGATTCCATTGAATATTCTTACGAAGACTACTGCTCAAAACGTCTGAACTATTTTATAAGTCCTCAATTGAGAAAAGATTGGTGCAGTCCTGATATAGGGCACTTCTTACATTTGCTCTTAAAAATTAGTTATTATTTATCAATCACCAATATAATTATTAATCTATTTAAATATATATAATTCATTACATTTTCATTAATAATTTGTGAGAAAAGATAACTAGGATAACAAAATTTAGAATATAGTAAATATAGATCACTCTTTTATTTTGATGTTCAATAGTCTATTTCAAATGCTGAATGAATTAGTGAAGAGAATAGTTTTCTTTTTTCAAAAATTGTTAGATTATATCAGAAGTTTTTTATTTAAATTATATCATCTGTTGTAGAATCAAACATGTATTGCAATATCTTTCCAATTAGCAAACTAGACATAGTAAATATAATCTGTCAAACACAATTTTTATCAGCAATGTTATGCAAATTGATAATAACACTCTGTGATATCTACAAAATAAATGAAAATCTTAAATAAATCTGGTATTTCAAAGGAAATAAATTTCATAAAATCTGGACATACTCGGTGTCATAACACAGACCTATGAAAAGTTTGGTAATCATTCCCTCCTTATAGAATATATATTTATGATCTGAAATGAGAATGAGATTCTCAATGATTGGTAAAGACCATACAGGACACACTGATTATTGTGACAATTTACAGACATTTAGAGTGTTATCTTATTAATTGGGTCTGCATCTTTCCTCAGAAAACACAAAGGGGCCTTTATATCGTGACCCATGTCAGTATTTCAAAACAAACATTTTTCTGTCAGCATTGATTGTTATTGATCTATTTTAAATTAGTTGATATTTAATTTATTTATATCTAAACAAACAAAAACTGCACACACTTTTACAATAGTTGTATCAGCTCTTATGTTATATAATTGTTATAGATTATTGTGCGACAGTGACAATCATCGGTATCTCATAGACTTTCCTGGCATTGAATGGCATCATGTTTAAATAATACCAGACCATGGCATAAGATAAAAGACATGTTAAGTTCCTACGACAAAGAAACAAGTCACGCCTATTGGCAGGGATTTACAATTCAATTTTTTTTAGTAAAATTTGCTAAATGTGAAAAAAAAGTGTTAAAAAATTTCTAACATCAAAATGCTTCTTAAGAATCATTTATTGATCTTATATAATTTCAGATTTTTTGGATGCGTTTGTTCCGTAACAGAGGTATATCGTATAAGACACACTCAATACTCTTTATAAATTCTGCTGATCGTGAACGTCAGACTACGTTTGTTTGTTTTTCTTTAAGTGTCCAATGGTTTAGTAAAGCATGCGTGCTGAAACAACACGTTGCTGCATGGTCCCAAACTTTTAAAGGCATGGCATCAGATGTTCCCAACAACGATTCGTGGAGCATCACATGTATCAAATTGTACAATAAAAAACAAAGGTCGTCAATGTTTTTACCTGATTCGCACAAGGAGAACTTGCCAATTGAATATTCATTGGAACAAATTAGCTTAGAACTTTCGGTTAAGTGATTAAATGAAGCCATCAATCGATACTAAATTATGTACGTTTCATTTGACTGAACGTATAAAATGAATCACACTCAATTACCAGATTCATGAAATTCCAAACTGTCGGAAATTACATACACAAGAAAAAGAGAACAAGGTCACAAGGTTCATTTTTATGTTCAGTATACTTTATGTACTGTGATGCAATTTTTTTGTTTCATATAGTTGTAGTTTCTGATTCAAAACTTCTTTATTTAATGTAGAACTACCATATTTCCATCCCCGACTCCAATATTATTTTTATCAATCAATGAACCAACCAATTAATCGGTTAATCAAAAAATATGAAAATTGGTGTTTTATACTTATACAAATCTCTCATGATCAATTGATTCAAATCTAGTTTACCGCTTTTTTTGATGCGTTTGTTCGTAACAGAGATTCGGACGCTGCACAAAACGCCATACGCCATACCATTGTTATGCTGATATTTTCTTTAATAATGAAATAATTGCATCCATAAGTTTGCTCGTTGCTCCAAAAATACATTACATATACACATTGTGTCAAATATTATCACTTCTTTCAGATTTAGGCAATTATGTCTTTTGTGCAGCCTTCTATGCCAACTATTTTGCATATGTGCGGTTTGCAGACGTACTTGCGGCGCTGTTTGAAATAACATTTGTAATATTTCATTCTGTGACGTAACGACAACATAGTAATGAAAGCCGATGGCTCGTCTGAAAAGGAATCAATGTCAAATATCTAGCGGAATGAAGCCTGAACTTCACACATTTTTTTCTATAGTTTGTTGTAGTTTGTTATTGTTGCTCTTGTTGTTGTTGTTGTTTGTTGCTGTATTGTTGTTGGGTTTTTTAATCAATTATTTTCGTATACAATTTATACCTTTATGTGGCGTAAAACACTATGATCTTATACAAATTGAATGACATTTCTCTTAAAAAATCATGTGATGAAAAATTATACTTTATTAAAGGTTTGCTTCAATTTTGCATATTATTTATGTCTGCTTCATTCACTAAACAAACAAACAAACAAGCGAAAAAATTATAGCAAACAAACAGGCAAACCAGCATGCAACCATAAAAGCCTCAACTTTCAAGCAGAAAACCATTTTGCGAATTATGATTATGTAAAACAAATTTGAGATTCAATAGTGTGTTTTGCTACAGTCATGCAATGAAAACGTTATCGGATTTCATCTGATCTCAATGATATCTTAAACGTTTAATCAAACAAGAAATTTCATCAGGAGATTTCTCTTTTCGCGTAATCATATTTGCAGATAATCTAATAAAACCAACTTCGACAATATGTACAAGATTGCCACATCCAATGGATAGGAAAATTCAATTTTTGTGGCATACAACTTTTCTTGCGGATGAAATTAACCTTGTTATTGGGAGGATGCCATTATAAAAAAAACGTAATGTGTTCATGTTTGTGCTCACCATACTGTAGGAATGCATGTTTATTTCATTTGAAATATTTGAAGTTTTCCAATTACCTCTATAACTCTTAACCTGCTGTTGTCTCATCATGCCCTGTACCGTTTTTTTATTTGTCAAGAAATATTTTGAAAATTCCCTTGGAATGATGAATGGTTTTGTCAAGTTCAAAAGATGGGCAATTTCATTTATTGAAAATATATTAAGTGTCCATAGGGTCTAAGAATGCACAAATTAACATTAATTTACTAAGAAACTTAACATTTGCCGATAAAGATGCAAATAATTAATATATGCATAATTAAAACGTTATGAAATACACCCTTGCTTTTACTTTGGATCTAAAGAAATCAACCCAATAAAGATCTGTCAAACA